CCAGCATATTTCAAAGGAATGAAAGAGAACTTCATAATGAATTGCTTCCCTCCACACTCAGCTGTTATAGCAGATATTATCACCCTAAATACAAGTAATCTTTCAGTGTTAAGAATGATGACATACCACATAGCAAATTTTCACTCCATTAAAGTAAAAACTGTTCAACGATGTGATCCATGGCCCATCTGTCATAGTTCAGATTGAATTATGGGAAAATACATTGTTTCCATTTGAATTAGTGCTTTTGGCTTTACAATTTACTAATGGTTTTATATGCAAAAATTATAGCTTTAGCTGTAATTTTACTTCTGATGAATGACTCAAGAGGTTCAGCAAACAGTAACAGGCCTACTTAAGTACCATTACTTATAAATTGCCAGGGAAGGCTGGAAGCCAGAATGACATCAGAAGAAAATGATGCCTACCAGTGAAGATCTACGAAAAGAAATCTGCTGAGTGACCCAAAACAGTTACACAAGGGCCCCCAAAGTCCACAGAGTGAGCTGATGAGTTCCAGCAAGTGGGCAGCTAAATTCTACTCCCACTGATGGCATCAACGGCACAGCCTTCCCATCCCCCTATAAACTAGTTAAAATACTTATAGTTTGGTTTTTAAATCTTTAGGACGAAGATATTTACTTGAGTCACAGGACACGACACAACGTTCAAAATTTGATAGATGACAATTATGTGTTAGGGACAGGTGGGGGGAAAATGACTACATGAGTCCCCAACGTCAGACTGGGACATATTCGAAACTGTGGTATGAGGTCACTCATTTTATTTTTTTAAAGATTTATTTTTTTTATTTATACAAGAGCCGGGGTACAGGCCAGATGTGCGGGAGGGTGAGAGGATTCACCAGAGCAGGGAACAGAACAGGCAGACGGACGAAATACACTGCTGAGGGGAGAAGCGGGCAAGACAGGAGACGTCTGCTCGCCATGTGGGTTGCTCCAAGGCCGGCGGGGATCAAACCGGCACGCAGAGGCTGCAGACAGCTGCACAGCTCTGCGCTCAACTGCCTGCGCCACCAGGGAGAACCCGAGGTCACTCATTTTAACAGCTGGAGCAAATAATACCTTCAAAGCTGTATTTACTGATCCTTTTTTATCCTGTATTTTTTACGTATCCTTTTAAACTATAATCATGAATAATGTTGAACATGCTAAAAGGACATTTCTATGCCTATGAAAGCTTCTAAAATATGACTCATTATTAAAAATATAAAAGATGTCAAAACCAGAATGTTTTAGATTTTATGAAGTTTTCTTTTTACATGAAAAGTCCTTTCAGGCACATCCCTCATTCATAAAACTGTATTAAAAGTTTCTTCAGTTTTTTCTATCTTCATCAACTAAAGCTTATTTCTAGACTCCAAAGTTAGTATTTCAAGTATTCTTAAAGGCCATACAATTCTCAGCATACTTTCACAGAAGTTACACAATTATAAGTGACAGTTTCAAGAGGAGACATAATTACATTTGCCCAAGGTGAAACGTTATGCTAAAAGAACTAAGAATTGTCATTTTCATAAGTAATATACTCAATCAAGAAAAAATACAATTTAAAAACCAATAGCGTATTCAGGTAAAGCAATTAAGACAAAATCTGTGCAGGATTAATAAAGTAAAATTTTAGTAGCACTGGAAAGTAACTGAACAAGAACAAAGTCTTAACATCAAGTAACAAATTCGATCTGTCATCAGGGAAAAGTGACAAATTCTATTTTTTGAAACAGGAAAGGATCAGTCTGTTCCCATGTCTGACCTACACAGAATCAGAGGGCATCTCCCATCACCTGGTAACTCCAGTTCCCATTCCTCATTTTTCAGACTAGCAAGCATAATCCAATTTGTTGACTATTGGTAAATCCCAATGAGATTAAGTACTGCCAGGTTTAGGATGCAAATTCAAATGTCCCACTATACAGCACAACACTCTTTCCTTCAAACATTATGCCAGAAATTAAAACTTGCCATTTAAGAAAATATTCCATATGTTTTATAGACAGAAATCCAGTCCATGGCAGCTTGGTAGATAACTGATGAGTGCACACACATAGTAACTCTAAGTGCTCACATACCTGAAATTGTCTCTAACATACAAATACTTGTATGCATGCAAATAATTTTGCTGATGAAAATACCAAGAAACTAATCACTGAAGTGCCAGGTGACAGTGATATTTAAGTTGAATAGAAAGTTATTTTCTTATACTCTTTATAGGGTATACAATATCTTCAACTTCGACACAGAAGACATGCCATGGGCCACCCTGTGCAGAAAACACCATTTTACACAGAGTAACAAATTTTGATTTGTTTTTAAAAAGACTTAATATCTATTTTATAAGTACTGACTTTAAAACCCGTATTATATAAAGTTGTTATGATTTTTTTTTTTTAAGATTTATTTATTTATTTATACAAGCACTGGGTACAGTCAGAAGCACAGGAGGGTGAGAGAATTCACCAGAGCCAGATCAGGGAACAGAACAGACAGATGGACGAAATACACTGCTAAGGGGAGCAGCGGGCACTGCAGGAGAGGTCTGTGCACCATGTGGGACCCTCACCAGTGGCCGGGGATCGAACCAGCGCTGCAGAGGCTGCGGGCAGCTCCTCAGTCCAGCGCTCAAGCGCTGCGCCACCAGGGGAGGCCCTAAAGTTGTTATGATTTTTCTCACTACTGTGTCAACCCCAAATTGTTTTGTTTAACTCTGCTGCAAGACAATTACAGTGATAGTTTAAAAACTATAAGCTGCATTTTAACAATGGGGCAAAGAAAGAAAATGAATTATTTAAAAGATCAAAAATAGCAAAAATGGAAAACTGTAGAACTACCTACATATAGTATACCAATTTTTATGTAAAAAAGTAAGAATAGGGGCCTCCCTGGTGGCGCAAGGGGTTAAGTGGCAACCTATGAAGCTATCTGCACATACTGCAGCATGAGTTTGATCCCTGGCCAGGGAGTAACTCACAAGGCGCAGCAGACCTCTCCTGTTTCACCCGCTGCTCCCTTCAGCAGTGTATTTCAATCAGTCTGCCTGGTCTGTTCCCCACTCTGTCTCTGGTGAATCCTCTCACCCCCCACACCTCTGGCCTGTACCCCAGTTCTTGTACGCATAAATAAAGCTTAAATAAATAAAAACTGAGGGATAGGATAGTTACCTTTAAGAGAAGGAGATTTAAGAAAGAATGAAAGGTTTTGGCAGAAGCAAGAGTTCTCAAGATTTAATCAACTTGATTTTGGACAGTGTGAATATATTATTCATTTCTAGTGTTTCTTTTTTTATTTTTTGTGGGACACTCGCCGGCGGCCGGGGAACGAACCGGCGCTGCAGAGGCTGTGGGCAGCCTCGCAGCCCAGCACTCAACTGCTGCGCCACCAGGGGAGGCCCATTTTTAGTGTTTTAATGTGAAAAAAAAAAAAAAGTTAAAAAAAATTTTTGTGCAGTTAACCAAATCCATAGCTAACTGATTTAATTTTAATTTTCCTGAGGACAGAAGAATCCATGTATTTTAAATATACTTGCTTTACAGCCTATGACAGAGATTAGCACACAGTGTATAATAAACTTCAAATTAGTAATTTGAAGTTAAGTGTCTACAGATTTCAGAAACAATATTCTACAACTGGGATAAAGTAGCAACTTCTACACATAAGGGGAAGGGAACAAATGGAAATGCAAAGTTTTCATAGTTCTGTAAATTCTTCATATTTCTGTCACTGCTGGCTACAATTTAAAATGAAATAATAAAATGCTCTTAGGCTCAATCTTTCCCTGGGTGAATATTCTAATTGGACTATTAATGAACTATGATAAGCTGCTGACATGTTTAATGATATTAAAGATTTTTAGTAAGAAATTATTGATGCCAAATTTTAATTTAAAGTACTGTACTAACAGAAACAACAGAGCAGGAAATTTTTAGTTCTCTTGATAACATAAATGCTCAACAACTGCAACCAGAACATTTAGGGTTCAGTGGTTCTCTCTATTTCTGTAATATTTTTCACAATATTCATTTTCAACCCTGAAGTGTCCGCAACATCTACTTTTTATCTTCCATCAAATGCTACTGAGAACCTGCATCTAATGTTAAAGAAATGACAACTGATGCTCTATTAAAATTATTGGTCCGTTAAATAGTGACAAGGTCAAATGGGTCAAAAATATGAGAATCCTCAGTGCAATTAATAATGTCCTCATTCAAGGCTTAAAGATATTATAATACAAAATTTACTGTAACAGTGATATAGAATTGAGTATTGGTGATATTGCATTAACCTGAAATTACTCACTGTCTCAAGGGCATGCTGTGGAAACTCCTTTAAAGGTGCAATTTTGTCTTTTTAATTAACTCTTATCTAGTGAAATGTCCTCTTTTGTGGAAATTAAGTATTCTGAAAGCACAGTAGTGTCATCAGTGACCAGAATGGAGTACTCCATTTCAATGGGTTCAGTGACTATTAATGTCACTCAAATAATTGAAAGATGAAAAAAAATAAATTGTGATTGTATCCAAATCATGAATTACTACACAGTAATAGGAAAACGCATATAAATACTGCAACTTAGATGAATCTACACAGAAGTATAACAAATACCAAAACACTACGTTGTTTCATTGATATAAAACATTCTAAAAATGGAATATACGGGCTCCCTATCTATTTTCTACATGTACAACTACAATTATCTCAAAATAAAAACTTTAATTTGGGGTGGGACTCTTTAATTTAAAAAGCTCACGAATATCATTTGGGTCATCTCCACTAAAAGCAGATTAGAAACCAGAGAGTATACAACAGATTCCACCAGCAGAAGAAAAGAACAAGTAGGTAACATAAAAATAACCAGTCACAGAAAATGTGTTGAGAAAACAATGTAGAAAATAACATGTTATTAATGAATATCTAATGTACATTCAGATATATTTAGGAACATATTAAATTTCACACAGTGTTAATTCAAGATGGAAAGCTTACCCGATGCTTTGCCTTAATTTTCTTCCTATATTCTTCTTTGTCAAATTTGTCCTCTTCTTGAAGCCTTTCTTTTGCTTTATCTAAGTTGATACCACCAGCGCTGTCCTCTTCCTCAGGATCGTTGGAGACGGATTTCTGCATTTGTGGCCACTGCTGAACTAACTGCAGACAGAAAAAGGTAAATGTAGGGCAGGAGGCAAGAAGCACCAGAAAACCATTTTTCTTTGTATAATGATTTTGAAATGGTGCACAGATTCACTTTTGGCCTCACAATCCATATTTCTTAAACTTTCTAACAAATGTTACAATTTTAGTGAACAAGCCACAGAAAAGACTGGAGTAATGCTGTCATAACCCAACAAGATCAGGACTGGAGAAGGCAGTAGCTTCAACATCTGTCTCCAACAGTGTTCCTAGTTGCTAGAGTCTGCAAACTCAGTTCCCATAAGGCACAGTCCGCCACAGACATGGCAGCTAGCGTGAGACCTCCAACCCCTGTGTTTTACTTTGCTGTTTCTCTAATTAAACATAATCTCCTTGAGGGTCGTTGTACATCTTGCCCATGTAGCCTCAGAACCCAACACAGTATCTGGCATATATTAGGTGCTCAAAATTGACGAAACACGCATTAGCTAATACTACACATGAGGACAGAAATAAGTATAAAAGATTTTCCAGGTCTGCTCAGTCTACTCATTTTTATACATAGTTTGTGGTTGGGAACAAGGCGACACAGAAGACAAGACACTTATACAGGAGTCAGGGTGTCCTGCCTTCTTCACAGTCTAATCCTGAATAAATTACTTACTCTCCAGGGTACCTGCATCCTTTCCCCAAAAATAAAAAGATGTGACTCAATAATCTTCCTGCCTAATGCTATAAAACTCTAGACAATTTAGACAAAAAGGACTCTCTTATTTTACCTAATAACTGGTTGCCAAGAGGAGAGAAGTAGCTGCCACTGTTTTTGAAAGACCACTAATGAAGCTGCAGACAATGGAGGATGTGGGCACACACATCACAGGCATCAACACTCCTCTCACCCTTGTCTCCGCCACAGCCATTTTTCAAGATGCGATTCCTACAAAGTCTTCACTTTTGAAAATGAATGAATGGAGTCACAAACACTGCTGTATGAGCAGCTGGGGCAACAGTGAAAGGGATCAACTATGACAGTAAGCACGCCATCCTGGGCTCTGACACTAAGGCCTGAGTAGCAGCATTTCTCTGTGTTCCCACAGTATGGCTCACGGCCGCACAGAGCTCCTATCAGCAGTAAGTGCACACTGAAACATTTTATATTAAGGATTTATACTCGTCTTGAAGCTAATTGGTATAATCTGCGCAGTTAAACTTAGTAGCACAGTAAGGAACCTCATTATGCTAACAGCACTAATCTTATTTGACAGTGAGCAACTGATGTAATACAACTCTATTACAATTCTGCCTGCTTCTGAGGTGCGGATCTCTTTTAGTAATTGCACAAAGATTCATTATTTATCAATTACATAGGCTTACACTGCAAGTTCCAACAACAGCTTTGAACTGCACTCTACTTTGTTAGTTTTCATAATTTATATACCATTTTAAGCCATTTATTAGTTCAAATCTGGGCTTCAGAAGCCAAGACTCCTTCCACAAAGTACCAACCAAATCTCTGTTAACTTTAAAATTAAAAAAGAACATACTCCACTGGCTATAGACTGGTTAGGGAGCATTTGTATTGATGGTGAAATATCTGATGTGACATAATACAGTTGGTATAAGAAATGATTATTTTTATTGCTATAGCAGACGGTTGGTAAAACTATTACTGTTTTGGTATAGCAATACTCTTCTAAGTGCTAGAGACAAAGGAGTGAGTAAAGGCAGGAAATATATAAAATCCTCCCTGATAGAGCTACCGTCATTTCACTGGAGTAGAAGAAATAGACAATAACCAAATAAATCTATACTACTAAGTTAGGTAATAAATGCCATGAAGAGAAGAAAGAAGACAGGGAAGGGGATGAGGTTATGGGGGGTGTGCAGGGCTGGGTGCTGCTTGAGGGCGAACAGGGACACTGAGACGCAGTATTTGGGAGACACTCCTATGATTGCTAAGTAGCCATTGCTCTTTAGGGTAAGTACTTGGCATTCTAGAGCCTTTTCCTCTTTAAAAATGGAGACAATACTATGTAAAAGAGTGATCTTTCATAAAAATCCATGAGTGATAACTTGTTCCCTACTCAATGGCTACATATTTACACAAAGACCAAGTTATGAGGAGATGAAAACCAAGTTCTTGTTCTATAGAACACACTGATGGAAAACATGGAACAAGAAAATCTTATCTGTAAGAACCAAATTTGAAAGGTTCAAAATCAACTTCGTGTTGTCATCACCAACTAGGATCTCAGCTTACTGTCAGTCAGTGAAGTTTTCTTTCTTAGCATGTACAGTGGGTGAAATGCCTACAGTAGTGGTGAAAGGAATTACCTAGAGTGCTTCAGAGAAACAATTTTTTCTTATCAATGAATGATTAAGTCAGAAGGAAAATCAAATTGTTTATGACACTTAGACTGTATCTCAGAAATGAAATAAGTACAGAATCTTACCTCCCCTTCGTCAGTAAATGTTATTTTCTTGTTCACTTTAAAGTTTCTCTTCATTACTTTTTTTGCTTCCGCGACCTTGGTCACCTTTTTCTTGAGACTGGACTTAGAAGTTTCTTTCTTCTGTGTGAGAATGTACAAAAGACATTATATTATGTACATGTTTACTTTGTTACATACTAATTTTACATAAATATTACCTATATATTATAAATGTGATATTGATGACATATTGACATATATATAACATCTATAATAGCATCTATTAATTTAACTATAGCAATACACTTTCCAAAACTTAGTGCATTGACTGAGAAACACCAGAAATACTGTCCAGAAATGAAATTACTAGGCTTATTAACCAATGATTCCCTACCACCACCCTCAGTGCTAAAAGATCATAAGTAGTGAATAATAATAAAATTTTCTCCTATGGCTAAAACCATGCTATCCTGATAATGCTGAAGCAGAAAGTACATGATGTGAATAATGAACATGTAAAGTAATATAGCCATCTTGCAGCTGAAAAATATAGCACATTTTTAAAAATTACTTTTGAATTGCAAACCTAAATTTCTAGACAATGAAAATGATAACTTAGAAAGAAAAAATGAGTACAAAACATTGTGAACAACTCAACATTTGTCTTCAAATTACAGAAATTTACTGTATGGATACTGTAAAACAATCTATGACAAGCTTTGTCCAAAGGTGAGATGAAGTAAGAGTACATCAAAGAATATACCAATCAGAACCCTGAGAAAGTCCTAAAACCATTATCCCAAGATAATAAAATCTCAAAGCCACTGTTACATGTGCTCAGTTACATGATGCGAGCTGCACAGGACATACCACTGGCTGCTTTGATGAATTTTAAAAATGTAACTTGCCTTTGAGAAGGATTTGAATCAATTTCCTCAAATTAGAGTGACTACTATCATTTGTGGAGCCCTGTCAACTAATCTAAGCCAGCTTCCATTAGATGAGCAGACAATGAGTGTAAGTCTTTAGTAGTTAACATGGATTCGAATTCAAGCTTTACCATGATAAACTATATATAACGACAATTTATTCAAGCTGTGCTTCAATTGTTAAATGAAGATAATATCTACCTCATAGGGGTGTTGGGAGGTTTTAATAATAAATGTAAAATACACATAATGTAAGTGTTCAAAAAAATCTATAAAAACACTACACATATCAATGTCATGTTACCTAAAGAGATTATGTCAACTGCACAGAAGCTTACTTTGCAAAATCCCAGACTTTGAGCATCCTGGTTGATATTTAACCCCATTCCACTCTATTCCACAAGGAGACACACAAGAAAAGCCAGAAAGGAGGGACTGATTAGGAAAGAGAAACTATTAAAAGTTTCAGGAAGATGTACATTAGTCACAACTGTTCTAGTAAGCATGTATAAAAAAGAATGATCCTTGAAAAAGTCAATATTTTTTACAATGATGAATACATAAGTGCTTAAGAACAACACTAAAATAGATATGAATCTATGTGCAGATAATGATTAAGGTTATCAAGCAAGTTAGCAAGTGCACCTGCAATAGTGTGAATTAGCTACCATGAGGCTGTTTTGATACTGATGGTTCTGCTAAGTGGGAATTACCAACAATCCTGCTGTTGAACTTCAGGTTCTCAGCACATAAAAGGTATAGCATCATACTTAAGAAGCTACCAGGATTTTCAATGTGTAAAATACTTAAGAAAGGATTAATCTCCTGTGAGTTTACTAACTTCCACTGCATCAGGCAGAGTCATCAATATGCTGTAATCAGTATACATATACTGCACAAGATGTCTATGAAGAGAGGTAGATTTCTTTAGATTTCTGCTTCCCATGAGACCCCCATCTCCTGCACCCTCTAAGGGGTCTGTGACGACATGAATGTCCCCATCTGGCATAACTCCAAAGTGCTGTGCCTGTCTCTCATAAGACTCCACCTCCTTCCAGGACCTCCTTCTCCTCCACCACCACCATCACCACCACTGTGTATGGAAGAAACATTACTACTGTTCTCCCTGGGTTAACATTACAATCCTTGTTTCCTTATCTTCCAAGAATAGTTAAGTAACTAAGCTGTGTCCTGGTAAAAATCCTCAATTGAGAGGGTTGCAGGCTAAGGGCAACCTAAATCCAAGTAAACTTACATAAGACACCTTGTGAGCAAGGGCATGCACAAGATCATCACTTTCTTACAGCATTACTCCTCTATCTCCTGTTCCCAAAAGCACTTATCAGAACACAACCACTAAGGTTGGCCAGATTCTAAGTCTTCTTAGTTTGATGCCCAGTTCATCTATTAAGGAGGCTGTGTTGGCTGATATTCTATTATGAGATCTCCTCTAATGATAAAACTGTGGTCCAACAGGATAAAGGAGATGATGTAAACAGAACAAGTCAAAAGAGTAATAATCACTTAAATAGAAAACACACTGGGAAGCGACAGGGAGCAAAGTTTCTAGGGGTGATGGTAATGTTCTAGATCTTGACTAACTTGCACAGGCTTACACATTTGACAAAACTCATTGAATGTTATACTTAAGATTTGGGCATTTCATTCTATATGAATTTCTACCTCAAAAGGGAGTCCTATAAACAAATACTGAACTCTAATTAATGCCATTAATTTCTTTGCTTCAGCCATGCCAGCTGTAGTAAATGGGGAAATGTGTAATGATGTTGGTAAATGACCTTGAAAAGCATTAAATAAAACAAGACGGAGAGGCGCAAAGTTATGTGATAAAGGAAATACAGTATGGTAAAAGGTTAACTGTGGAATGTGAGTAGTGAGTATTTCTGTCCAGGAGGATCCTTTTCTGAAATTTTCTTTATGATTGTATGTTTTCACAATCAAATATGAAGCCCAGTTGCAGGAAGAGGAGAAAAAGTCATAGAGAAAAACAAGAAAAAAAGATTAGATTAAAGGTCAGTTAGAAGAACAATGCTGCTGGGGCAGAGCCTTTTGAAGTGAGGAGGGTACACTGGAAGAACTTCAGGAAATCCATGAAAGCACTGAAATCATGTGACAAACCTTGAGGGTATTTACATCTTTGTATTTTTAAGGTTTTTACTGGTTAAAAGGCATTTATGACACACATGCCCTCACAAATAATAATGGATGAATTTCTGGTTTGTCTTAGGGAAGCCAGTGAAAGAAGGAACAGGAAATACACCATGGGTAAGAAGAATCATGTTTGTCATCTTTTCTTACTATGCTCTGAATGTTTACAACATATAAGGCATCCCAGTACACACTTGGGGACACTGTAGTGAAAGAGATAGGGAACTACCACCCCTTCCCTCCCCACCCTGGCCCTCCTGGGCCTAACTCTATCCCCTGAGGGGGAAAAAAAAACATTAAGCAACTAGTGGAAAATAGCATTATTTAATCATAAATACAGCAAGTGCTCAGAAAAAAATATGAATGAATGACTATGTAATAGGGTGCCCGTCCTCACTAGCGTAAAGTGAAGAGGGCAGGTCAAGGGAAACTTCATTGAGAGAGAAAAGTCTGAAGTGATCAGTACACCCCACTAATGTCCTACGAGGGCACACAAATATTCCCTGTTCACTGGTGGTGTGTTTCACCCATAACTTACAGGAATAATAGATTAATGATATTCTGGTGGTTATCCATTTTAGCAGGTCATCCATACATTCAGTTAAAAAGTTGCTTTTCATGCCTTCTTCAGTGACTTCCTAAGAGGTAAGCAGTATTCCTAGCTGCTTCTGTTCCCTCTCCGCAGATATCACCCACATTCAAGTGGACATATAAAGAATATCTGTTACTTAAAAGAGCTACCTGCGATGAACAGCCTTGAATACACAGCGTCCTTTCCTAGAACACTCATTTATGCGCCTACAATACATTTCTAAACATTACAGCTCTAGGCCAGAATAGTGCATTTTCATTTCCAAAGACATTTTCAAATACACTTCCAAAGAATTTATACAAATGTACAGTCCCACCAAATAATGTGAGAGCAAATGAGTCCCCATTTCTCATCAAAGTATATTATTAGTTTATATATTTGCTAGCCAAATAGGTGAAAAATAATATACTGGTGAGTCTTAATTTGCATTTGTATTATAAAGCATTACAGAACTTCTTTGCAAAGGTTTACTTCTGTGCACTGTACATATTCTTTCCCATTGTTTAATGAATTCCTGGCATTTTTATTAGTTAATTTGAAGAATCTCGTCATTTGTTAAAGATGCTTCAATATTTTACCCCCACTTTGTTTATGTTTAGACAAATGTCATGTAAAGTAATATTTTGTTGTTTTGCTTTGCTTTGGGATTTCTACCTAGCAGACAATTTTAATGGACTCAATTTTTTATCTTTTTATTTTTTTTTTAATTATTTTATTTATTTTTTTTTAATTTTCTAGAGGCATGTCTTATTTATTTATTTATTTATTATTTGTTTGTTTGTTTGATACATGCACTGGGTACAGTCAGAAGCGCGGGAGGGTGAGAGAATTCACCAGAGCCAGAGCGGGGAGCAGAGCAGGCAGAAGGACCGAAGTACACTGCTGAGGGGAGCAGCGGGCGGCAGGAGAGGTCTGCTCACCATGTGGGACCCTCCTCTGGTGGCCGGGGAGCAGCCGGGGATCGAACCGGCTGCAGAGGCTGCAGGCAGCTTCGCAACCCAGCGCTCAACCGCTGTGCCACCGGGGAGGCCCAATTTTTTATCTTTTTAAATAATGAAGCTTTGCTGGGTTTGGGCCATACTTAAAAATACTTTTCCAGGACACAGTGCACCATCAGAGGCCTCGCAAAGCCCAAAGATGCTGTCATGGCTTCCAGTGGGGCTGGCACAAATGCTGCTTGTGAGCAAAGGAAGCACCCAAAATTCTGGACCGTGTGGGAGAGGGGCTCTTCAAGTATAGGAATGACTTCTGAAAGAACCTGATTTTCAATCTGGTACTTTTTTGCTGTGGGGGTTTGACTGGTCTGGAATTTGAGTGGCACTGGCCTAGTGGAACCTCAGTCTGGACTGCAGTCAAATAGCCACATGGCTCTCCTGTGCTATATTCAAGCCTTTCAAAAATTAGTGACCATGACAAGCCCGCTTGGTGGCAAGTGAAGTCTGAGTCAGACG